TTTTGAAAGAAGTGACATGATTGGTCACTCATCCTGATTTATTTATTGTGTTGTACCTGTTGATTGAGCAAGCTGAAAAGGTTGTATTTTATGTAATTATTCAGTTAAAATGCTTTTGTGGTGGTTAATCTTGGTTGTAAATTTCAAGATAGATGCCTAGAGAATTGGTAAAGCACACTTCTTTTTGGGTGTCTATGAGGGTATTTGCATAGATGATTGCCCTATGGTTAAATTAGGTAAGAAGATTCACCCTTGGATGGAGTAGAAAGCTGGCCCCCTGTGCAAGCTCAGTTTTTTTTTTGAGCAGGAGTATTTTTTGGTGCTGCCATCACCTGCTGATACCAGACTTCAGCTTCTTCAGTTTTTGAACTTGGACTCACACCAGTGACCCTCTAGGGAGCTGTTAGGCCTTCAGTCTAGGACTGCTGCTGCATCCTTACTTCCTCTTGTGAGGCTTACTACTTCTTGGACTATTGGTTTCTCTGGCTCTTTAGCTTGCAGACAGCCACTGTGGGACTATCCAGCCTCTAATCATATAAGTCAATCTAATAAAAATCCTTTTATAATTATATGTACATTCCATTGGTTTTAGTCCTCTAGAGAATCCTAATACACTGTATAAACAGGAATTTTTAAGTGTTGTATTTCCAGTGTTCATCATTCATTTATATAGACCCATATTTCCACTTTCCTAATTGTTTGATATGTAGTGTGCTGAAATCCACTTTTTCATGTAGTCCTTTTTTTTTTTTTTTAAATTTGGTGGGTTCAGCAAGAAGAGTATATGTAGTTCCCGTTATTCCATTTTGAACTAATTAAAGAAACAGATACTTTTCAAAGAATATCCAAAATTACCTGAAAAGACTATTACACTTCTTCCTTTCTTCAGATACTTCAATTGTAACAACATATTACAATGAATTAAATGTACAAACTTGAGAATCTATAGCTATCTTCTGTAAAGTCAAACATGAAAGATTTGCCAAAAATATAAACAATGCTATTTTTGTAGAAAAAAATGTTTCATAAAAGTGTCCATCAATGTAACTATCTTAAAAATGTACCAATAAATATCATATCTAATGTGGTAAATATGAACACATAGAACCCACATAAGCCAAAAGTTTTTTGATGCAAGTATCAGAAACCTTAATTTTACTATCTGGATTGGAGTTTCACTAGCCACTTGAGGTATGCTATATCTTAAGTTTAGGAAATTTAAGTTTTCCTCAATTGATTTAAAACTGGAACACCCAGAAGTAACACTAAAATAATGAAATAAAATAAAGACATTTAAAAACAGCTTCACATTTTATGTAATTCCTTATTCTATTTAATAGTTGAATGGAAAAAAAAAAAAAGGCAACCTCAATGTACGTTCATACAATCAACATTCACCCATGCAAATACATAAAGCTCAGCAGTTACCTGAAACACAAATTGGGACTGGAAATTCTCCTGAGCTAAGAAATTAAAATACCTACAGAATACTCATTTCTGGCACAAATGCCTGAAATGCTTTAATTCTTTCTTGTTCAAATAGTTTCCATAAATCATTGGTTCTTATGAATTGTTTCCACAGATGACAGTATATTCAATAGGTAAGATCACAATTTTTTTTCCCCCTCATACTTAACAGCTCTTGGCTCAGTGACTCTGGAAGCTCCCTTTGGACCACTGCAGTCCCCAGTCATTGAGGGCTTTTGCTTCAATGTCCACAGCAAACTATAGTTTAAGGAAAAGTTCCTTTCTAAGACCCATGAAAACCCAGTGGAATCAACAGACTGTATGTGCATGGAGGCCACCCTCACCCATGGCCTCTACTGATCCCACCTAGACCAGAGCCAGAATCCCAGCCCATAATGCACACCAAAATCAGTGCCCAGGGCTTCAGCATTCTGCTGGGTCTGGCTGTATTCACTATGAAGTCTCAGCGTGAGCCTTTACACAGGCTTTGAAAGAGCCCCAAGAGATCATTCTAAAACCCAGGAACACCTATTCGCTCTGCCAGAGGACTCATTCCCTCCTCTCCTCTAACAAGCTTCTGAGGGAGGAAGTGGCTAATTATATAATCATCATTTTTTTTTTTTCCAAAAAATAGCAAATTTGGTTGTGTTTGGGTGTCACATGCTTCTATTTGTGCCTCATTTCTACTCCTGACTTATAACACTAATCACTTGTAAAAAACAACAAAAACAAAAAATCACAATACCTGGGTTCAGCTCTAACTTCTAATTGTGTGATTTTGAGAAAGTCATTTAATCTGTTTACTTTGTTTACTTTCCCTATTTTAAAAATAGTAAATTGTTACTTTATAAATGACTTTTCTGAGATGCGAAATAATACAGTTAAAGTGCTTAAAACCATTTCTGGTAAATAAAACATTTAGCAATTATGATTTACTAGCCAATAAACTTTAAAGACACATGCCTGAAATCAATTGCTATATGTATCCATTTATAAGAAAAGACACAAAGATAAGTTTGGTGTTTTGTTTTTAAATTCCACAAGTGATTATGAATACAACACATGGAAACCATGGTTTGGATTCTACATAAATTATCATTTACACCAATAATCAGTGTTAAACTAAATTTAATTTGTTCCTAGAATCATTTTCCAACCCTGAAGATCAGGGAATGAGTCAAACTGATGCAGGTAGGACAAGGAAGAATCTCTTACAACCTTAGTCTATGTAAATTCATTCAAAATTTAATGAGTAATCTCCAAATATTAGTATCAAGAAATTAGAGATGAGTAAGGTATCTCTGTTCTTGTTAAAAGTTAGTTATAATCGGGTAGTGTATATTGATATAAGGTAATGTTATACACATTGTGGTTCATGTCTATATACCACTGACTGTGTCTGCAGTTAAATAACCCATGTGTTCTGTGGATCAAAGTTATGTTTAGAATAGGAAAAGAGTAACGAGAGGTTCCACTCTGCAATAATGGTATTAATGGTAGCAGTCTTTATGCGCTGCATGAACAGCAACAGTGTTTGAGCTAGAATAGAGCTACCAGACTACCATATGTTCCTTCACCTTATGGAGATACATTCCCTAGAGACTAGAAAGAACCAAACCAGACAAACTAGGCACTCCTCTGCATGCCCATTCTCGGCCTATTCAACACCTAGTGTTTCTAACAATGGCTAAAAGAAGAAAAGCAAGAGGAAAGAAGAGTGGTATGAACAGCAAGGGTAACCCTAGAAACTCAATCATGCTCAGGTTCATATGTGCTGGGCCAATACACCCCCCCACCATCTAGAAATGCCAAATAGTTTCCTTTTAAAAAGAAAGGGAGTCACACAGAAATCAATTCCAGTGAAGTTGGTCAGGTATGAGTCTCAAACAGATCAATGTTTATAGCAGCACAATTCACAACAGCTAAACTATGGAACTAATCTAGATGCCCTTCAATAGATGAATGGATTTAAAAATGTGGCATATAAACACAATGGAATATTACTCAGCAAAAAAAGAGAATAAAATCATGGCATTTGCAGGTAAATGGATGGAGTTAGAGAAGATAATGCTAAGTGAAGTTAGCCAATGCCCCAAAAGCCAAATGCTGAATGTTTCTTGAAGGAAGAGGGCATGGGGTTAGAAATGATAGTGGAATGTGATGGACATTATTATCCAAAGTACATGTATGAAGACATTAATTGGTGTGAATATACTTTGTATAGAACCAGAGATATGAAAAATTGTGCTTTATATGTATAATAAGAATTGTAGTATATTCCACTATCATATATAAATAAAAAAATAATTAAAAAAAAGAAACAGATTTATTAGTTGAGTCTTAATGGACAGAATGGGCTAAAAGCACTCTAAAGAAAATGAGCAGCAAGAAGGAAGAATTGAAGCAAAGATAGAGATATTCAAAGCATAGTCAGATCACAGTGAAGCCAATTTAGTAAAAGATTCCCTTCATTTTCTTACATAGAAACTTAAAAGAATTTAGGTTCTATTTTGTATACATTCTTAGACAAATAATACAGATTACTTAAAATCTGTTACTCTCATGCATAAAAATATCATTTACAAAATGATACATACCCAAAGACCAATAACTACCATATTATCATAGCCCTAAGACACCAGAAGTGGCGAATACCATGCCATGATAGGAAGAGAAAAAAGAAAGATAGAAACATGGAGCAAAATTAATAAAATTAATTGATGAGAAAATTGCAGTTATAGGAAAACCAAAAAGAGAAAGACTCTCATTCTTATATCCTGGAAAGAGTAATTCTTGAAAATAAAGAGTAATGAGCATTGTATTAAATAGTCCTTAATGTGCTTTTAATTATGTTTCTTGTATTATAAAATAATTACTGCTCGCCCAAGTTGTTTTATGCACTAATACTTTGAAGCAAATGGTAAAACTGTCTAGGTGTCCAAAGAAATCATTCTAACACAAGAACAGTTTTAACTTGCCCATGACTTTGAAAATAACTACTGATTTTTCTCATCAATACAATAAAGCTGGATTGGGCAACGTCTGTTCCGCCAGTTCTAAATGTTAATGACAATATATTACTTATATAGCTAACCCATTCCTTCCCTTTTTCTAAGCTAGACTTTTTTTTTTTCCTAAAAATGTTAAAAAGTTTTCAAATTATATCACATTGTTGAAATATTACACTTCAAGTCTACTTCTAAGTAGGAATTGAAAATAATAATTTCTCTACAAATAAACCAAAGTTTTTTTATTTCCAAACCAAACATATTCCTAGGAATATGGAAGTATTAATTAAAAATTAGAAATGTACAAAAACCTTAAGCAATAGTTACTGAAAACTACCAAAATAGACTATTTAACATAAAAAATTTGAAGCTTTGTATTAGAAGACACATATTTATAATTACATATTTTTGATGATCTTCTGAAATCATAATATTTAAAAATATAACTAGTTTCCTTTGTATAATCTTAGTACATAATTGCTAACTTTTCAAAACTTTCATATAAATTCTCAAGGAAAGGATTAATTTACCATTGAAAAACAGTGATTTATTAAATAATAAAGTAGAAGTCCATGCTTTATAAGTAAGAATTTCTCACAGAGAAATCAAGAAAAAATATTTCCTATCATAGATAGTTATCAATAATCTATAAGTCTTCCAACCAGTATTTCATTAAAGAAATTAAGTGGGAGCTGAATTTACAGATGATGCCTGTGCTTTGGCCATTCTTCGAACCAGTGCTTCTTGTCTTTTTCTCTGAATTTCTTCAGGGGAATATTTCCTATTTTTTTCTTCTTCCTCTAAAAATTAAACAAAATATGTATTAATTTTGTAACTTACAAAGTCATCATCATCATTTACTATGCTGCGTTAGCTATTAAATCATACTAAACTACTAAATGTAAAATTCCAAGTATATACATATAGATACAAATGTTCTAGGTCAAAAGAAAATCAAGCACTGATGACTTTGTCCCTATTTGAGGCATTTTTCTTCTGTGTGACAAAATTCAATTTGATTGAAAACTGTTTTGTTGATCACCAACAAATAATTCTTATGGATTAATGAAATCTAATTCATATAACCTAAAAACGTATAGATCTTAAACAGGGATTCTAAAAACATTATATGAACTTAAGTAGAAAAGTAGTAAAAACATAATGAATTAAATTAGACATCGGTACCTCAAACAATGTATTTTATTATAAGATAAGCTATGTTTATGTCTATTATAAGACATTTCTCATGTTGACTAAAGGAGGCATTTCACAAAATATACCTTCCTTTCCTGGTATAATGAAAAGCAGAAGAGGATATTTAGGGTAAGAAATATATATATCCCAAGACGATTCTGATGTCTTTTTTGGTAAGGTAAGTGGCAGATTATCCATCCGTAAAACAATGTAGATAGGACAGTAGATATTTCCCAAGCTAGCTACCTAATGGACTGAAGCTATTTTTTCTTTCCCAGAAAAATACTAAAAAATACTTTATGATTAGCTTGACTAATTAGCTAATAATTTAGTCTCACAGCCAAGAAACCAAAGTTCAGAATTTATATACAGTTTACATTCAATTGAGAATAAGGATAGAAAGAAAACAATAATACACATCAGCCTAGAAGAATATAACTTCCTGAAATTGATTTTATGACTGGGCTGATACTACGGAAAACAATTTCAAATGATATCAAGTCACACCATGCAAATCTGATTTAGGGAGAGCCATTCATTTTTCCCATCAGCCGTTCCTTTAACTCAACATATAATAAAAATCAACTTGCAAAGTCCCACTATTGTATAGTACTAAGCAAAAGTGGCTCTTTTAAGTTTGATTTTAAAATAAAGGGTCAGCAAATTTTGTTTCACCATAGGGTTAGGAAATAAACATGTTAATTTTTGAGAAGCATACACTCTATTACAATTGCATAAAATCCTGCATTGTACCATGAAAATACTCATGGATGGTGTGGAAACAAATGATGTGCTGTGTTCAAATAACTTTGTTTATGGCCAAAGAAATATGAATTCAATTTTCAAGTATAATGAAATATTAGTTTTCCTTTGATTTTTTTTTTCCCCTTCAACCATTTAAAAGGTAAAAACCATTTTTAGTGTGCTTGCTATATAAAAAACTATGGCTTGTCCAAATACAGCCCAGAGCCAGTTATCAACTTTGCCTCAAATCCATGAATTAAGTGGATTTTGCTTCAAAGAAATTTCCAGGAGAGCAGCTTGCTACACACCAAAGTACAAGTAAGTAGAAACAGAAAACATTGACAAGGTTAATACTAATCAGGAGATTAAGGACAATGGATAAACTTACAAGAAAAATTGGTAAGGTAAGTGGCAGATTATCCATCCATAAAAAAATAGGATAGTATAGGACAGTAGATAGGTGTTTTGAAAAATTCAAATACTCATTTATAGAATTATAACCATATGTAAATAAATTTACATTTCTGAAAATTGGTTGTACCTACTGGTATTTTGGGCTATAATATGGAGAAATATTCACTGTCAGTGTTGATAAATAATGTTGAGGTAATTATTTTGGAGGAAAATTTGGTCATCCATCAAAATTCAAATTCTCTTATATCAGGTTTTAAAAAAATTAGTAGATATAATCAAATAAGCAACCAGAAATTTAAGTAAAATATTCACTATAGTATTGTAATTACAATAAACTACAACCAACCAAAATTACATATATAAAAACAGTTATTATGGTATATCCATAAAACATATCATGTATTCATGTAAGCAAATCTTTATGTACTAACAGGAAAAGATGGCTATAATATGTTAAATAAAGGCAAAAGCAAGTTGCCAAATAGTGGGCATATAATTCCATCTATTTAAATGTGCATGCATGTGTGTACACAAACACCTTCTTTAAATCCACAGAAAATGCTTCATGATGTATATTGAATATATATGAACAGTGGTTTCCTGTGATAAAATAATTTGGAAAATGAGAAATTGAAAAGACTTGTTATTTTGAGTTATTTTATACTTCTTTCTTTCTTCCTTTTTAAACAACTAGCAGATTATTGGTATAAGCTAATACAAAAGACTTAAATAGAAATATTGTAGCAGTAATGTCAACAAAAGCATTACTCAGAATCTAAATGACAAAAATGATCTAAAAGAAACCAAAAACTCATTCATAAGCACCAATCAACATAAAAGTATGAGTTAGCTTCAAGTGAGGAAGCGTGATTAAGAAAATCTGTAATTATAAGTCAGCGTAATAATGCTATAAAAATAGTTAGCATCCCAGATAAAGTAAATCATTCTGGGTAGATAGAAACACATTGCATATTAAAGGATAAAGGCAGGTAGATTTCATGTATGTATGGAGGATGCTGTTTTGATGAAGAAAACATTATACAAAAACATCAGGATAGGAAAGAGCACTGGCATTAAGAACCACAAATAGTTAATGCTGGACATATTCCCTCATAGAAAATATAATAGTATCAGTGAATAACAGGCTTTTTACATTATATTGCATGATGTTCATCCAGATATTGATCATGCATCTTCTAAGTGACAGATGGTGTGGCAGGCCTAAGTATTACAGAAACTAAATATTTAATTACAACTGGTGATAAAAAGAATGAAAGAATTAAGAAATGGTAGAAAACAAAGAAAAGACCCACTTATAGACTCTTCAAGGAAGTGCTCCGCAACATATATGTTGAAACAATAAAAGGGTGGGGTGGTGGGGTCAAATTTGGAAAGGCATTGTTATAGTCAAAGGAATAGCATGATCTAACTTCTTGATCTAGGAAAGAATCTATTCTGTTTGAAAAATTGAAGAGTTGGTATAGTTGAACCTTAGTAAATAGACAGGTTAAGGAGACATAATTCAGGACTTTTTAGATCTCAGTGTAAAGTTTAGATTTTATTTGAAATACGATGGGCAGCCATTGACAATTGTTTTACACACAGAAATGTCATGTGTGCCTATCTGGTTTTAAAAAGACTATTCTGCTATTTGGAGATTAAAACTGAAGGGGAAAACATAAAAATAACTACAGTAATCTAATCAAGAAATGTATTCTTGGATAAAAGTGGTAGTGATAGAGAGTGAGAAAGATGGGTCATCTGTAGATACGATTTTTAAATAATGATCAAAGGAATTTAATGACAGATGGAAGAGGTAGGGAAAAGAGGAACTGAAGAATTAAAAATGACAGATAGTATCAAATAAGTAAATCACCATTTTAACCATTACAAATAGCACTGAGGTTTACATCAGATATTATACTAGTAAAGGTGTTTAATTAGAAAGTTCCAAAATGCCAACCAACTATTGTTCATTGTTCTACTAAAAGTAGGAGTAAGATTAAGTTTTAAAACAACGAAATACTTAGTAAATAGGTTATTAAATACATACAATGTTAAACCTAACATTTTAATATATACACTTTAAGAAATAACTCATAAATTGTTCAACAGAGTATCTGGTATATGTTGGTCATTATAAGTAATGGGAAAGAACCCAATGCAATCTTCTGAAAAATAAACCACCTATACTTCATATACTTAGCATAATTAATTATAAGAATTACTTTAAGAATTCTAGTTAAAAACCATATTTTTACCTCATATACCTCTGTCAAACAACAAATAACTAGTTTTACTACTTTTAAAAGGAAACTGTTTCATACATACCTTTTGAAGATTGTTTCAAAGATTCAGAAATTTTCACTAAAGACATCTGCTGATCAGCTTCCCCAGTTATTGAATTCACAGTTTTCTTTTTCTCCAAACCTTGTGTAATTTTGGTAGTAGACATACTTGTTTCTATACAATTTTGATTAAGCTGACAAAGAATCTGAGGATTTTTTGTCTTTGCAAAAGTATACTTTGAAAATCTAACTGCTTTGTTAAACTCACTTTGTGCTTCATCTGTTTGGGGCCTATGGGAAAGTTGCTGGGTAATCAGTTTCTTCTTATTACTAGCAATTACTGGGCTCACATAATTTGAATTCACATTCAGACTTGAACTTCCTGCAAAAACTGATTTAGAACTAGGCACTTGCATTAGAACATCACTGTTATTCCTATACACATGCAGATTATTATTCTGACACTTTGAGTTCTTAGAGTACATAGTCAAGTTTGTTGTAGTACCCCAAAATTCTGAAGAATTTCCACTCATTTCCCTTTTCTCCATCTTCACTGATTTATTTATTTGTGTGCCAACTGTCAAGGAAGACGTCTGCACTGTAATGCTGCCCAGATTCAAATGATTTGATTGTGCCAACTGACTTCCTTGTTTAGATGTAGTAGATATATTTTTCGCTCCATGTTTGGAACTATCATTGATCTCAAGTATACTTTCTGATGTTTTATTGTCCTTTAAAATGTCCTGTTGCTGAGTTAGTCTTTCAATATCATCACATGCTTGATACAACAAATCATCATCTACATTATCTGTTTCCCAAGAAGTCTCTAATCGATGACATGTTTCAAAAATTTCATTGGCAAGTGATGGTTCATTCCAATCATCAAAGAAAGAACCTAACTTTGATGCATTAGTCTGATCTGGTTTATTAACAACTGTTTCACAGTCCAAAGTTGAAGAGCCAAAGGGATCAATATTAACAGGTGCTTTGAAAGACTGATCAAAAATGGGCTTATTTTTTTGTTCACTAGAATGTTTTGTGTTCAAAGCAGACTTCTTTTCAGAAGTATTTACATTAGAAGTAAAATTGATACAGATATCTTCTTTTACTTTTGTCAGATTAGATGTAACTGCACAATCTTGAGTTTTGTCTTGACTAACAATTTTACTTGAAGATTTCATTTTATTTCTAGTGGATGATAATTTACTTGATTTATCATTTGGATTTGATGAAAATATGTATTTTCCAGCATCTATTAGTTCTCTGTTATGTGTTTTTGAAGGTAAATCTTGTAATACTTCTGAATCTCCTAACTTGGCATCTAGACTTTTATTTGTTCTTGATGTACTCCCACCATATTCACTAGTAAAGGTATAAATTCCCTTATGATCAGTAACCTGGGCAGTTTTAGAAGGAAAAAGTTCAGCTTCAACATTTTGCATAACAAAAGGTTCATTACTTAGTAATTTTTCCCAATCATCCTCCAAATCACTGGTTGTAAATGTACCAATGGGCTTACTAGAAGCTTCTGGCTCTTTACTATAGGGAGTCATACATGATTTTGTCATTATGGAAGGATCTACCTGTGGATAAAGTGAATCTTGGGTTTTACCTGGCAGTTTTTCAGTGACCAGAGTACCATTAATAATGATTTTCTCCTCTTTCAAAGCATTTTTTCTAGTGTTCAAAAAAGCATCTGCCAGATCTTGGCTTAACTGCCCACTACATTTCTGGGTAGAATCATCAAAAAGGGCATTAAAGGCCGCTTCAGCATTTTGGTCAAATGGCTTCTGACTACTGCTTTGATCATTTGCCACAGATATTCTGGTGTTTCCTTTCATTGGCTTCTTTATTATGGTATTATCTATAATTGGAACTACATCATGTAAGGGATGCATCTGTACATAATCATTACAACTATGTGAAGTCTCTGCTTTTGAAATCTCCTGGATAAAATCATGATTCTTCTTGTTTTGCTCTTGAGCCACATCTAGCTCTTCCATATTTTTATCAAATTGTTCAGCCAATTTCATAAGTTCTTTTTCTCGATATTGTGTTTTTAACCTATTAAACATTAAAAAATTATAATTAAGCAATATTCTATGTCATTAGAATCAATTGTTATTTAAGATAATTGTTTAGTTAAAATGCCAAAATTTAACACAATTATTCTAACTCCAAAATTTTACATGTCAAAACTAAAGAAATTTTGTTATTTTGATATGTTCACAAAAACATTATTAAAAATATTTCTTCAGTGAATCTTAGAAAAGCTGAAAAGAATGAACTCACTTTGTACGGCTAACTTTTATTCTTGATTTTTTTTGCGCTACACTGGGAGTACAAGGAATAGCAGCTGCACCAATCCACATACCCAGCATGGAGTTTGTTGTTGGCTTCTTCTCATCCTTTGACAGAGGGAGGAAAACAGAGGTGTGAAGGTGTACTTACACACTGAGCATACATACACACACAAGGAAAAAGAAGAGAGTGTTCATGTGCAAAAGTGAGGGAGAAAAAGAAAAGAAAAATGAAAACTAACTACTTTTGGAGAATGGCAACAACAAATTACAAGAAGTGATCCATTTATGTTCTAGAGAGTAAAAAATTTTCACAATTAAGAATTCAAATAACCCAACCAATAAATGGGCCAAGGACCTGAAGAGACACTTCTCAGAAGATGATGTACAATCAATCAACAAACATATTAAAAAATGTTCATCATCACTAGCAATTAGAGAAATGCAAATCAAAACCACTCTAAGATCTAAGATTTCATCTCACTCCAATCAGAATGGCAGCCATTATGCATACAAACAACAATAGTGTTGAAGATATGGGGGAAAAAGGTACACTCATACACTGCTGGTGGGACTGCAAATTAGCGCAGCCAATATGAAAAGCAGTATGGAGATTTCTTGGAAAATTGGGAATGGAACCACCATTTGACCCAGCTATCCCTTTCCTCGGTCTATACCCAAAGGACTTAAAAACAGCATACTATAGGAACACAGCCACATCAATGTTTATAGCAGCACAATTCACAACAGCTAAATTGTGGAACCAACCTAGATGCCTTTCAATAGATGACTGGATTAAAAAATGTGGTATATAAACACAATGGAATATTACTCAGCAATAAAAGAGAATAAAATCATGGCATCTGCAGGTAAATGGATGGAGTTACAGAAGATAATGCTAAGTGAAGTTAGCCAATCCCAAAAAACCAAATGCCAAATGTTTTCTTTGATATAAGGAAGCTGATTCATAGTGGGATAGGGAGAGGGAGCATGGGAGGAATAGATGAACTCTAGATAGGGCATAGGGGTGAGAGGGGAAGGAAGGGGGCACGGGGTAATTAATGATGGTTGAATGTGATGATCATTATTATCCAAAGTACATGAATGAAGACACAAATTGGTGTGAGGATACTATGTATATAACCAGAGATATGAAAAATTGAGCTCTATACGTAATAAGAATTGTAATGCATTCCGCTGTTATATATAAATAAAAATAAATAAATAATAAATTAAAAATTATTTTTAAGAAATAAATTATTTTTCAAATTTATATCTAATATATGAATGTAAAAGCGTATTTTTATCAAAAGAAAACTCATAAAGTTCCGCTATTATAAGATACTTCTTAAAAAATGTCTTTGTTATTAGGAAGCAGCAACCTGTGGTACTGTTATCATAATTAAAAATGAAGAGATACATAGGTGATTTCTTTCTATGGTATCTGATCGTCCAAATTCTCCTTACCCCCATTATACTTTATCTAAAGTTGGGAAATTTCTGTTGACCAAAATTGAGAACACTTAGAATTAACGTCAGAATTAAGAGATAAGAGCAGAGTCAGAACTAATGCTAAGAATGAGGTAGGGATAAGAACAAACCTAATAGGTACAGAAAGTTAAAAAAACTTTAACCAGGATAAAAGCTAGGAAAAAGTCGTATTAAGTATGTATAATTTGCTATATTTTTTAGTCACTTGATCAAACAAAAAGAGAATGAGCTTTATGTATTAATTGCAAACTAAATAAATCAAATTCATAAATCAGGTTTTACTATATTTATTAGGGTAACTAGAATGAACACAAGTAATCATCACACAAAGTTAAAAAAATAAAAGTCTATGGCTAGATTATAGGATACTCACAGACAATGAGTCTTCCTATGATAACTTAGTATCAATCCAGCATAGTGCTAAACACAAGAAAATGCCATTTTTTTTATAAGTAAATTGAAAGCAACCCTATAACTCGGTACTTCAACACAGTCAATGAATCAATAAGCTATTTTTCTTAATAGATTGTTGAACCTAACTGACTTTAGCTTTGCAAAATACTCAAGAAAATCAGTGTCACTTCTGGACTCAGATTTCCCATTTTGTTTCCACAATCTTGAATTTAAGGAAATAATATTCTTAATGACTTAATTATGAACTCTGTTCACTTTCCAAGTAATTTTAAATTCATTTACTTCTCAAAAATTAAGTTATGAAAAGCTTATGTGCCACTCCACCTTATGTATGTGTCAGAAGTCCTTTTTATGATTGTATACTATTTGTAAGTATTACCTTTTAAATTTATCATTAATAATTATATACTTACTGATTAACAACTACAATTTAGGTGTCCAATAAGATAGCTAAACATTACTGCAGTTCATCCTAAAGAATATACTGTGTAAAGCTGTATAAATGATAGAGAAGATATACACCACTCAGTAATAGCACTGTATAAAAAGTTAATGCTGCAGGAAGCAAAATGACTAATTAAAATGAAATGCAAATTTTAAAAAAAGCTATCTCTAAAAACATTAGTGGGAAATTAAACAATGATTTGAGAATAACTCACCTAAAAATAAACAACATAAAGATGTGTCATTCTGAGAACATGACAAGTTTTTTAAGAGACCGTGATGTTATCAAAGATTTATACACTTTAAAGTGCTCAGTCGAAGAGGGTAATATTTATAAGCAACTAATTTCACTGTAGTTTTTCTTTTATACAAGTTACCACTTGTGTACTATTGCCATTTCTTTATGTGAGCTATTATTTCCAGCCCATTTAGGTAAAGGATTCAATAATTTACTCAACTATCTTTTTATAACTATTTAGGCTGGCCAGCCCAAACACATTTTATTATGCTTCTTTCATGTGAAACTCACAATTAGTGAAGATCTATTGTTAACTTATAGAGTAAGTAGTATTGTGGCACAAATGCTATTTAATGAACTGTATGTAAAATGAATTTCTATGACATGTCAAATGTGGAATGTGGAGCTAGTAGCAACAAAGTTGTTTTGACTGTGCTAGCTATAATTTTGGATATTTTATAGCTGCTAAGAAAAAATTTATTTCCTGTCTTCTCCACCTAGATGATGGTGATTCCTGATAACCACAATTTGGGCCAGTGCCATCTATTGTCTGTGGTTAACATACAGTAACTATTCAAGGAGAAGTTAGGAAAAAAAATACAATTACTTCAGAGAAGACACAGCAAAAACTAGATGATCTTTGGATTTAAACATTGTTAAAGTTCAGAATGGTTTGGGCCTTTGCTTCCTAATAATAGTGATAGGACTGATATGATGAATATTAGTTGCTGGATAAATTTGTGTCAAATGACTTAAACTTATATTTCTATTTCACTCAAGCAGTGTAAGAATTGAAATAACAACAACAACAACAAAAGCCTCTTGGAAGGGTTCTTTTACAGTTAAAAATTAAATGATCACAATTAACATCTTACATTTATAGTGTCCTAATTTATAAATAATTTTTATCTAATTTTCATAATGATCCAATGAAGAGAGCAAGACAAGCAATAATTCTGTTTATGGCAAAATGAGACTGGAGAGCTTAAATGACTTGCTTAGGGTCACACAGCATATCAGAGGCTGAATGAGGACTAAATGTAAATCCAGTTCTCTTTCCACCTTTAAAGTATTTCTTAGTGATCTTGTAAGCCAGGGAGTATTAAGAAGAAAAATTTCAGTGGGGAAAAGTTTTACTGTAGGTTGTAAACAAATGCAAAAAACAAAAATATCACAAAAGTTAAAATTCATAGTCTTATTCTATCATTTTAGTACCTTGAAAAATGTTGCCATATATTGTTAAACAAAACATTAAAGAAAAAATACAAACCAAGCCCTGGTCAAAAATTATTAGTCATAAACAGGAGGGTGCATGAGGGTAGAAAACATGGTAGAATGAGATGGACATCATTACCCTGGGTACACGTGTGACTGCACATATGGTGTGATGCTACATTGTGTTCTTTTTTTCAAAACATGCCTTTCAGAAATAGAATCAGAGAAATGAAATGTTGTGCTGCAGTTTTGTACAATGAATCAAAACACATTCTGCTGTCACATATACCCAATTAAAATTTTAAAAATTAATTAAGAAAATAAACATAAAATATATTTTTAGGAAAATATATACAGTTAGCCCTCTGTATCTGCAGATTCTACAAACAGGGATTTGACTAACTGCAGACTGAAAATGTTTGGAGAAAAAACCTGCATCTATACAAAATAGTAGTACAGACTTTTTTCTTGTCATCATTCCCTAAGCAATACAGTATAACAACTATATTTGTGGTATTAGGTATAAGTAACCTAGAGATGATTTAAGGAATATAGGAGTGGCTAGGGTTTCAACTCAGTTGTAGCGTACTTTTCTAGCAGGTATGAGACCTAAGGGGAGGAAAGGAGAGAGAAGGAAAAGGAAGTAAATGGGAGGATATACAGAGGTTATTTTTAACAGTACACCATTTTACATAAGGGACTTTATTATCTAAAGATTTTGGTATCTGTGGGAGGATCCTAGAACCAATACCTCATGGATTCTAAGGGATGTCTACATTACCAATTTTATACTATGTTCTTTTTTTCAAAACATGCCTTTCAGAAATAGAAAAGATAGAAGTTATCTTTGCTGCTGTATTTGGAAAAGACAAAACATTTTTCATATAAATGAACTGAACAAGACCTAGGTGCACAAATTTTCCAATACTTTAAAATAAATTATAAAACTATTGATATTTACCTGAGGAGCAATACGATTAACAATGTCTGATATCTCATCACTACCTGTGGTGTAAATCTTTTTTTTTCTTCCTTTACCTAAAGAAACAAAAACATTTTATAAATTTTAAACCAAAAAACTTAATTTTAAAAAATGATTTTAATTAGTATGGCTTAGATGAATATGCACTGACAATATCAGATATAAAAATGAAATAAAGTCTCAAAAAAATCTGCTGTATAAAAGTTCCTGATGCTACCTGAAATTTTATAAATTTTAATCATTTATCAAATATTTATCCACATAAAAATGTTAATAACAAATTACCTAACTGTTTTGTCATTGGAGAATTCTGATCCCAAAAGATATCATTCTGTCCATCTGGATCATTTGGAGAACTGAAGGTACATGAAAACAAATCCATTTTCAGCACTCTCTGTGGTGTTTCATGCCTTTCTATACAAAATATTGTTAAATAACAATTGTTGCATGTTAAAGCATTGTTTTATTTCATAATATCACAGTCAAATAACAGCTTACTTTTTATAGTTCAATATAAAAATTTCTCATCACAATATTACTTTAATCAGAATTGAAATGTTTGGCATAAAAATCCACATTAAGACTTCATAAACTTAACACTATGAATAGCAAACATTTTTAGGTATTTTGGTACCTCTGTGAATGTAAAATAGTGTATAACCTAGTTTCTCCATTCATTACAAAACTGGGCCTGGAACTCTGGAGAACCACTTGTAATTCATATATACATTTCCAAAATGTATCCCAACAGAAACTTCACCTTTCACCAATTTTATCAAACTTCCATTAATTATCCCCCCCCACACACACACCCGAAGAAAAAAATCGTGATCCATTTTTGGGAGAAGTTTTGTCTACAATCACTTAATATAATCTGGGCTTGATTCTCTAGTTGCTTTATTGGGAGTTCATGAAGGCCCATGTAAAGTAGCCAACGCCGTATTTTAAGAACACGCTCTCGGAAAAGGCTTTTATGTAAGTTTTGCTCTTAATATAGTTATGATTAGGTCTTTCAACATGGTACATCAAAAACTGATCAGCATGGAAGGGGCCCTTCCTTTCCTTCTCTAAGGGATGTTCCAGCAAGCAACTTCCGGTTTCTTCAAAACGTTGCGGGACAACCCCTTCTCTAAAGCAAGTCGGGTCAAAATAAAAGTTTAAAGGGAACAATTCTCCCGGGAACACGCTGCAGGCAATAGATCGGGCGACTGATTCTAGCTCCGCCACTGCTGACCCGAGGGCAGCCTAGGAACTAGCAGTCCTCCTGCAAACAGGTAAACCGCGGCACCCCTTCCCGCGGTGGGGGCGGTCCCAAATGGCAGAGCCGAGCTCACACTCGGGGTCCAAACATTCGGGGGCGCGGTGGAGGGTCATTTTTGGAGTAGCCTAGGGAGAGGCTCACTGAAAGAAAAGACGCTGTCGGAATCCACCCCCACCCCCACCCCCCATTTTCCGGTTAATTAATGACTGGGCCGTGGAGCTGCAGGGCCGAAGGCGGGCCTGCAGCGCTGCCCACGTCTCACCCTCGGGGTTACTGTTAATGCACGAAGCGGGTGCTGGACGCTGCTCTTGCTGCCACACCGGCCCGGAAGGGCCTTCCCAAGCCCCGCGGAGAACCGACCCGCGGGCCGACTTCAGCAGCCTGCTGCCTGGCTCGACCACCGAGCTGCAGTCCTCAGTCGCCGCCGTTCTACGCGGCGTGTTCTTCGGGGCACTGCTGTCCCCATATTTCCTCCGCCGACTCATTCCTACGTCCTCCCCCCACTCCACCAGACGTTTCTTTCACATTTTGCAACGGAAGGAACCGAGCAACAGCACTATATACCAGACTCCACGCCAACGGCCGCCGCCATCTTGGCCGGTCGGGCGCGCTCAAGAGGCTGCCACTCATTGGCTGCGTCCGTGTGAGGGGACGGAACCTTGCAGGTTCCGGTTGCGCGCGCTTTCGCAGCTGGGACCTGAGCCTGCTGGGGTGGGGTGGGAGTTGGGGGTCCTAGCCTCAGACACTTCGCACTGAAAGGAACAGTAGCGGTGGTGGTCCAGCCCAAGTAGCTGAGAGTAAACCATGAGGTAGAAAGGAGATTGAATTCATTCGCAGTTTTTAAAAAAATTGAATTTATAACTAAAACTACACATTGCACAGCTTCAGATTATTATGAGTTTTAGGATTTGCTAAGAGGAACCAGGTATGGAATAGAAATAAGTAAAACTAATTTTTCCTAGATGATATGTATCAAGAAAAATGAAAGAAACAGTTCTTAAAAATTTAATCAAGTTGCTGGGTGCAAAAAATAAATATTTAAACAATTATGCTTTGATAGATTAGTGACAAAAACTGAAGTTTTAAAGAATTGTGGTTTATAATAGCATATGAGAACAAATCACTAGGAATAAATTTAACCAGAGATTGAAAGAACTACAAAAAGTTTTTGAAAGAAATTGAAAATCTAAATAAACCAAGGGTGTAATATGGGTTCTAAAACTATTGTTAAAATATTGTTCTAGAGAAGAAGCATCTCCAAAAAAGGGTCCAAAAAGTCCCTGCAGAGAAGGGGCACCTTGACTCAGGACAGTGGGATTCTCTGCATGTGTAACAGAGAAGAAGTTCAGCATAGGCTAGTCAAGCATAGACACATAGCCAGGTTTATTTAGGCAAGTGTATACATATTCAAGGAAGAATGAGGGCAATCCGAAGAGAGAGATCTTTGTGAGTGAAGGAAGAATATACTTTCAAGGGAGAATATGGACTATCTTGAGAGTGAGAGACATGTTTGGGTTTGGGGGTTCCCAGCTCTTCTTTTAAAGGAAACTTGGCTATGGGTTGGCATGGGAATCTACCCAGGAATGATATCAGTTCTGTGATCTCAAAATGGTTTCTGGTGGTCTGGTCTGTTTTGGGATCCTCAAGCTGATGTGATCTTCATTATCTGGTCAGTAATTAGAGCTAGAAATTCCCTAAATTATAGGGTTTCAAGATATTATGTTTAATGTATTTATTGGGTGCAACAAAGTAGACTTACAGATTTCCCAGGGGTTTGGGAGTAACAGGGCTGAAAGAGTGATTGGCTTGGGAAGTGACAAGTCTAGAAAAGTATGCAGAACTTCAAGTTAATATATTTTTCTTGTCCTCCTTTTATGTCTCCTTTCTACCTGTTTATTATTTCTTCTATCATAACTCAAGTTCTTCCCAAATTGTTCTATAGATTCAGGGTGAATACATTCAGAATCTCAGTAGGGTTGTGTGTGTATACGTGTGTGTGTGTGTGTGTGCGCACAATATGATGATTATTGTAAAATTTACATGAAAATGCAAAGTACCAAAAATATCCAAGAAACTCAATCCCTTGAAGAATTCTGAAATTGGATATATATACCAGGTATCAAGACTTATATGCAGTTATGATAGTTAAGACATGGTAAAAGGATGGACAAGTGAAACAGAATAGATCACCCCAAAACAGACTTCCACATAAATGAAGGCTTGATTTAAGACAAATATGAACCTCCTGAATAATGAGAAAAGTATTTTTAAAAATAAATAATACTTGGTTAATTTGAGATTGACATGGAAAAGGGGAAAAAATGACCCCAACCTCAAACCGTATCCCTAAATGACATGCAAATTGACTACAGATTTAATTGTGAAAGATAATTTTGTTATTTTTATAAGATGATATAAATGTTTTCATGGCAGTAAATGAATTTTAAATAGAACAAAGATCACAACACTAAAGAAAATAGTTATAAATTCAACTACCTTAAATTGATAACTTGAAAGCTTCTTTCCAGAGAAGGGTGACATTATAGAGAACAAAAGACAAGGCACAGATTGGGAGAAGATATTTGTAAGTTATGTAATTAAGGGTCCATATATAAACTATATAAAGAACTAATGGATAAAAAATATGGGGCGACACTTGAGCAGGCTCTTCACAAGAGAAAAAACCTGAATATTCAACAGACTTGTAGAAAGGTGCTCAACTCCATTTTTAATCAAGAAAATGGGTAAAGGAGGAATACACTTTCAAGGGAGAATGTGGGCTATCTTGAGAGTGAGACATGTTTGGGTTTGGTGGTTCCCAAATGCAGGTGAAATCCATAATAGAACGGTTAAAATTAAAAAAAAATCAGACAATATTGATATCAAGGAAGTAAGACAATGGAAATTATCACATACTGCTGGTGAGAGTATAACTTGATACATCAACTTTATAAAACAATTTTTGATCAACCAAGTACACTTCTTATAGGTCTACTCAGTCTGTTTCAAGAAAAAAAGCAAGATCATAATTATGTCATTATATTTACATTATTTTATACAGAATTTCAGGTCCAAAGGTACAAAATAAGTGGGGTTTTTGTTTGTTTGGCTTGTTGGTTTTGTTTTTTCAATCTTATTAATATGTTTCAATCCTAAATGCACCTAGGTGAGTGTGAGGCTCATTTTTCCTCAATCCTGTCCTGTAAGCAATTGCGGTTAAAACCACCTACCATGCTTAACTGCTTCATCAAGAGCCTCTGCTACCCAGATGCCTGAGTCCAGCCAGGTGATTCCAATCAGGTAAAAATGATCAGACTAGGAGTGAGCACCTGACTTAAGTAATCTCTATGTTCACAGTCCATCTCTGACCATCATGAAAAGTTATATTGAGATAATCATTTTCTCTTGGAAATTTAAACTAAGAATTTGCTAGAGAGTTGTGTGCAAAACCAAGGGGTGCAGAAATAATAGAGAAGCCTGCTAAGAGTGGTACAGAAAGAATTATGCAGATTGAGGACCACTAGAATATCTTTTGATGCTGCACTCCTTGAAACCCAAACAGCCATTTAGCTACAATGTCCCACAGATAACTTCTGTTGAAATTCTAGTTCTTTTTTCTTTCAAGGTGTACTTTTGCAGTCAACCTTCCTTTTCTTGGGGTAGCTAATACCAGTAGTTCTTTATTCTTTATGTACAAAACAAACAACAACAACAACCACAAAATACAAAACCAAAACAGGAAAAACAAACAAACAAAAACCAACAGGATTAGAATGAAAGGTTATTCTCTAATTGTTTATTCATTCTCATTAGAGGCATGAATTGGGAACAAAGAAATGGCCAGCTACAAAATGCTTAATTTTTAAATGCTGCTTGCAAGTAAAATGCCAAAATTCCTTATGGATATGATGATTGCTGTCATCTTTTATGAAGTCACAGTTATGAATGATTTGAGTTGCTTTTTAAAATAAGTTAACAGAATATTATCTTGAGAAGTTCAAAATAAAATGTAACAAGAATCCCAAGATGGAGTCAAGAGTTAAAATATTTTAGTGAATTATTTGAGCCTGAGTCAAATCATAGTGGTTACTGCCTGTTATCTGAAATCACTATTTACATTTTTTGGCTCAGTTATTTTATACAGACATAAAAATTAATGAAATAAAAATTGTATTTTTTTGGGGGGGATAGTTCATTCTCCTGTTTTTGAAATAGAGACATTCCCAGGTTTTTGATTTTAGAATCTCCAAAATATGAGGAAATTTCTGTGACACAAATATGAGGCTGAATGTTATTCACCCTCTATTTTATCAGTTTCCTCAATTTCCTCAACCTCAGAACTCACTGTAATACACTTCCTATATTATCCATAAAGCAAAGGGGGACAGAAAAACACCATGTCCCCAAATGTTTCCTTTCTGTTCCCCCAAAACTAACCACAGTAAGGGAACAATGAAAGCAAATCTGGGCCAGAAGGTGCAGATACATACTATCGTGAAGGTCACTGGCTTTCCCTTATGCACACTGGGAACTAGGGCAAGTTAGTGTTATCTGTTAAAAGCTGCTGTCTTGCATGTACGTCAGATTATTTCTTTCTTGAGACGCTGGTCAGGCAAGCAGACTAAGCAAGCTAATGCTAATGATGTCGCTGCTTCTGTAGCCTAGCAGAGAAAACTCTCTGCTAGTGTAAAAGAGTACAGAACTGAGGGCATTGTGGAAAGGACATGCCACTTGTCCAGCCAGCAGCCACTGGACTAAACACCATGAGGGAGAGAAGGCAGTACTTGCCAAAGCACTGTGAGGGAGAGAGGCACTGTTAGCTTGTCACCACTAAACTCTTCTTGGAGCAGTCACTGATCTCCTATAAGCTTTCTCCAATAAACCATGTGTCTCCCGTGCTATTTTCAGGCACTGTCTTTGGCTTGTCTACAACCTACAGCACTGCCCTGACGCAAATGGGCTGTGGACGACACACTTCCCTTGCCAGCCTCCAACTTTAGATCGTCATGACCTTTGTTTTCTCAGCTTCTACACCACAGCTATATTGGAGAGGTTCCCACCGTGACTCTCTAGTCATCAGCTGAGTTTTCAAAGTCAGATAAAAGTGTCATGAATCAGTTCATGCTTCCATTCTTGGCCAAATAGACTCCAAATTTCTACCACTTTCTACAGAGTCCCCTTCCAGCTCAGATTGTCCCGTCATTAAAAAGCTCTTTATATCATACTTCCCTAATGGGGAGATAAACTATGAGATATAAAATCCCTCATTAAGATTTTACAGAAGAATGTTTATCATATCTTAATTTTGATCATGGTAGAATGTATCTAACTTTAAATCCAACCAAACAAAAAAATCACAAAATAACTGCATTCTTACAGGTTAAGTTAAAGGCAAAGGAGTCTACACAACAACACTACAATTAGAACAAGGTTCCAATCCTAAATTTGTAAACAGAAGCCCTAGATGGGACTTTCCCACACTAGCAGCATCAGAATCAGTGTCATTGAAAACTTGCTAGAAAACTGTTTGGGGTCTCACTCTAGATTTACTGGATAACAATTAGTGTGGGTCCAGAAATA